AGTGGCCTGCCAAGGGGTCAGTTTAGTTCAGTGGCTCAGTCATGTCCGACTCTTTGTGATCCCATGGACTGCAGCACACCAGGCTTCCCTATCCATCACCATCTCCCAGAGCTTGCATAAACTCATGTCCATCGAGTCAGTGATGCGATCCAACCATCTCATCATCTGTCGTCTCCTTTTCCTCCTGCCTTCAGTCTTTCCCAGGATCAGGGTCTTTTCCAATGAGTCAGTTCTGCCTATCAGGTAGCCAAAGTATTGGAGCTTCAGCTGCAGCATCAGTCCTTCCAACAAATATTCAGGACTGATTTCCTTTAGGACTGACAGGTTTTATCTCCTTGCAGTGCAAGGGACTCTGAAGAGTCTTTTCCAACACCACAGGGGCACTGAACACAACCGTCCTGGGAGCCCCAGGACATGCTGGCATAAGTCCTTTTGAAGGAGGTCACCACTACCCCTACCATAGTTTGGCCTCAGGACAAACTACAGGGAGGGAACACAGCCCCCCCCATCAACAGAAAATTGGATTAAAGACTTACTGAGCATGGCCATAAGAGTAAGACTCAGATTGCCCACAGCCAATCCCTCCCATCAGGAAGCTTTCAAAGCCTCTTACACTTATCCATTAAAGGGCAGACAAAATGAAAAACACAATCACAGAAAATTAACCAAACTGATCACATGGATCACAGCCTTGTCTAACTCAATGAAACTATGAGCCATACAAGGTAGGGCCACACGAGATGGATGGCTCATGGTAGAGAGTTATGATAAAATGTGGTCCACTGGAGAAGGGAATGGCAAACCACTTCAACATTCTTGCCTTGAGAACCCCATGAACAGTATGAAAAGGCAAAAAGATAGGACACTGAAAGATGGACTCCCCAGGTCGGTAGGTGCCCAATATGCTACTGGAGAAGAGTGGAGAAGTAACTCCAGAAAGAACAGAGCCGGAGCCAAAGCAAAAACAACACCCAGTTGTGGATGTGACTGGTGATGGAAGTAAAGTTCGATGCTGTAAAGAACAATACTGCATAGGAACCTGGAATGTTAGGTCCATGAATCAAGGTAAACTGGAAGTGGTCCAACAAGAGATGACAAGACTGAACATCGACATTTTAGGAATCATGAACTAACATGGACCAGAATGGGTGAATTTAACTCAGATGACCATTGTATCTACTACTGTGGGCAGGAATCCCTTAGAAGCAATGGAGTAGCCTTCATAGTCAACAAAAGAGTCCAAAATGCAGTACTTGGGTGCAGACTCAAAATCGACAGAATGATCTCTGTTCATTTCCAAGGCAAACCATTCAATATCACAGTAATCCAAGTCTATGTCCTAACCACTAATGTCAAAGAAGCTGAAGTTGAATGGTTCTATGAAGACCTAAAAGACCTCCTAGAACTACCACCCCAAAAAGATGTCCTTTTCCTCACAGGTGACTGGAATGCAAAAGTAGGAAGTCAAGAGATACCTGGAGTAACAGGCAAGTTTGGTGTTGGAGTACAAAATGAAGCAGGGCAAAGGCTAACAGAGTTTTGCCAAGAGATTGCACTAGTCATAGCAAACACTCTCTTCCAACAACATAAGAGATGGCTCTACACATGGACATCACTAGTCGGTCAATACCAAAATCAGATTGATAATATTCTTTGCAGCAGAAGATGGAGAACTCTATACAGACAGCAAAAACAAGACCTGGAGCTGACTGTGGCTCAGATCATGAACTCCTTATTGCCAAATTCACACTTAAATTGAAGACAGTAGGGAAAAACCACTAGATTATTCAGGTATGACCTAAATCAAATCCCTTATGATTTTACAGTAGAAGTGACAAATAGATTCAAGGGATTGGATCTGATAAGACAGAGTGCCAGAAGAACTATGGACAGAGGTTTGTGACATTGTATGAAGGCTGTGATCAAAACCATTTCCAAGAAAAAGAAATGCAAAAAGGCAAAATGGTTGTCTGAGGAGGCCTTACAAATAGCTGAGAAAAGAAGAGAAGCTAAAGGCAAAGGAGCAAAGGAAATATATATCCATCTGAATGTAGAGTTTCAGAGAATAGCAAGGAGAGATAAGAAAGCCTTCCTAAGTGAACAATGCAAAGAAATATAGGAAAACAATAGAATGGGAATGATTAGATATATCATCAAGAAAATTAGATACCAAGGGAACGTTTCATGCAAAGATGAGCACAATAAAGGACAGAAATGGTATGGATCTAACAGAAGCAGAAGATATTAAGAAGAGGTGGCAAGAATACACAGAAGAACTCTAGAAAAAAGATCTTCACGACCCAGATAATCACAATGCTATGATCACTCACCTAGAACCAGACATCCTGGAGTGCAAAGTCAAGTGGGCCTTAGGAAGCATCACTACCAACAAAGCTAGTGGAGGTGATGGAATTCCAGCTGAGCTATTTCAAATCCTAAAAGATGATGCTGTGAAAGTGCTGCACTCAATATGCCAGCAAAT